GCAACCTTTCAATTTGATCTTTAGAGGAGTTGAATGCGCATGTGTTCACCATGTGGCTCATTCATTAAAAAGAAAAGAATGTCAACATTGAAAGTGAAACAAGGAACCCAGAAGGAATAACCATTTCATTGACTGTTCCGGCCCACAAAAATCATTCGTATACACGTAAAACGACGTTTTACATACATCTTTAACATACAACATGAAACCAAACAGACAGACAGAGAAAAAAACCGACTGCATGTGCTCGCTATCTATTCATATGCATGTTTATATATATCGGGTTTTACGACCTTTGGCAGTCTTCGGAGGTCGTATCTTTTAATTACTGGATGGTGTCTGGGCTAAAATACGTGCAAAATGCTGATACATTATAGCAAGCCCATGCATTGTTAAATGTTTCTTTTGGACTTTTTGTAACTTGAATATTTGTTTTAGTATGTTATGTTATAAATAAAATATGAGCGTTCGGGTCAAATCGATGAATTCGACAGCAAATGCCCTATTAATCTTTTACTCTGTGGTGCAACTCGTCTTCGGTTAATTCGGAGTATTGTTAAAATTATAAATGTAACTTAAATCTTTCGTATTTTACGTATTAGTAATACTACTTTTGTCAACAAACAAGGCAGGATTTATCAAATACACCACCACGATCCATTTGATTAGGGACGTAAAATACAGTACATACCTCCGAGTATGCACGAAAGGTATTTTGGACCAAAACAGAGGGCCATCTGTTGTCCCGGATATTTGTTAATATATCTATATATAAACAAGTCTAAATATATATATATGTAGGACTCTAAAGTGCGATGGTACTCTAAAGTGCGATGGTCACGCTAAAGTGCGATGGTCTACGCTAAAGTGCGATGGTGTCAGACGCTAAAGTGCGACAGTTGTTTGTTTTTTTTACGTGCAATCAGATGACACGCTAAAGTGCGATGGTACGACACTCTAAAGTTCGATGGTATATGACACGCTAAAGTGCGTTGGTTTAACACGCTAAAGTGCGATGGTGTCAAGGGAATGGGGTTCAGGCAATGGTTTTTGTTTTTTGCTGTGTTCATATTAGTTTTCCGTCTATTGTATTGTTTCTAAATCATGTCGTTGTCTTTCTCTTTTGAATTGTTTTACACAAGTCATTTCGTGATCCTGTATAGCTTTCTATGCGACGTATAACAAAGGCTCCACGTTGAAGGACATAACGTTATCAGGTGCATACATCAACGATATTTGGTCTTTGGTGGATATTTGTTCGTTGACAATTACACCACATCTTCTTATTTGTTTTTTTTTTGTTTATTGTTTATTTTGTATATAAATCAGTCCGTTATCTTTCTCGTTTGATTTGTTATACACTGTGGGCCTCGGTGGCCAAGTGGTCTAAGTAGTTCTACTACTGTAATCACTAGCCAGTCAACACTGGGGTTGTGAGTTCGAACCCCGCTCGTGCCGGTGCACTCGACTCCAATCTTAATTGACTAGGATTGTCAGTTTTCCTATCGAAGGTCGGTGGTTTTCTCCGGCTTCCTCCACCAATAAAAACTGGCCGCCACGAAATAGCCCAAATGTGGCGCTTAAAAGTGGCGTTAAAATACAAACAATCAATCAATCAATTTGTTATACACTGGTCGTTTTGATACCCTCTGGTCGTTATAGAATACTATCTGCGGGGCTAGCCATATGGTAACCTATAGTTAGTTACATTAATGACATTTAGCCTTGGATAGATACTTGTCTCGTTGGCAATCATATTAAGATACCACACCTCTGGTCGTTAGGTTACTGTCTTGTTGATGAGTATCCATCTCTTTTACAGACATGACGAACAAAATTAAAAAAAATTTTTTTTTACAAAATTATTCAATTTGAAGGTTAAAAAGTAGCTTTTATTTCACGCAAGTAAATGACATGGGACGAACTAATTACTTTGACACTAATGGTGTAATTTGCCGTTTTCGCTCTCTTTTACGGTATACACCTTCCCCTTACTAACGTCAGTTTCTATGTTACTGTGGATGATTTTTTGGGAAGTAACTACTCAGCATACACACTCTTCTAGCACCGACCAAAAATGTTCCGGATTGGGATCATATGTTTCTTGTTTGGTAAAAAATCTTTATCTGCACAAACATTCTCGTTTACCGGCATGTCCATTTTTGTTTGTACAAACGGATTATGCGATTTAACGTTGCAAACGTCAATACTTTCGCGAACAAACGCACTTTAGGGTATCGTGGCATCGGATTTTAGCGTGTTGCATCAAATAGCGCAGATCATCGCACTATAGCGTATCAAACCATCGCACTTTAGCGTAGGCTATCGCACTTTAGCGTGACCATCGCGTTTTAGCGTCCCCATTGCACTTTAGAGTCCTACATATATAACAAGAAATTTGTTTTGCATGCACACGTATAAAAATTGCGGGTTTTATCTTACGCAATCATTGGTTTGAACGTTGTTTTCAATTTAGACTTCGTTTTTTCGTTTGGGCTTGTATTATATTTGCCTTCGGGTTTATATGATCCGTTCATCCTATTTTGACTCCTCAAAATTCAAGAGTCTATCCTAAATTAAGGTAAATTGTATGGCTTTCCGGATATGGTGTACTAAAAAAATTTGCACCTTTTTGTTTGCGGTATACCATCTTTTCCGCAAGTTTATTGTTTTCTGTTTGGTATTAAATTATTATAAAGATCCATTTGTTACATCTTGTGATCCGTTTATTTGGCAATCGCCAATGGCAGTCAGCAGGGTTTAAGAACATTTGTTGTTCGACCTGTTAGTCAAATGCGTTTTGTTAAAATATACTTTTTCACTTTTTTGGTCTTTTGGAAAATGTTGTTTGTGCTGTATTTAGACCCCTCTACTAAGAAATTTGTTTTGCATGCACACGTATAAAAATTGCGGGTTTTATCCAACGCAATCATAGGTTTGAACGTTGTTTTCAATTTAGACTTGTTTATATTTTTTCGTTTGGGCTTGTATTATATTTGCCTTCGGGTTTATATGATCCGTTCATCCTATTTCGACTCTTCAAAATTCAAGAGTCTATCCTAAATTGAGGTAAATTATATGCCCTTCCAAATACCGTTTCGATTCCTAACATCACTGAAGAGACATAAATTGTCGAAATCCGGATATGGTGTACTAAAAAAATTTGCACCTTTTTGTTTGCGGTATACCATCTTTTCCGCAAGTTTATTGTTTTCTGTTTGGTATTAAATTATTATAAAGATCCATTTGTTACATCTTATGATCCGTTTATTTGGCAATCGCCAATGGCAGTCAGCAGGGTTTAAGAACATTTGTTGTTCGACCTGTTAGTCAAATGCGTTTTGTTAAAATATACTTTTTCACTTTTTTGGTCTTTTGGAAAATGTTGTTTGTGCTGTTTTTATCCAACGCAATCATAGGTTTGAATGTTGTTTTCAATTTAGACTTGTATATATATATTTCTTGTTTAGACGTACATATATATACATATTATCTTGTATCAGTATCGTTGCACAAATCTTAAAGATTTTCCTATCTAAACAGTTTTATAGCTTGCTGTTCGGTGTGAGCCAATGCTCCGTGTTGAAGGCCGTACCTTGACCCATAATGGTTTACTTTTATAAATTGTAACTTGGATGGAGAGTTGTCTCATTGGCACTCATACCACATCTTCCTATATCTATTGTCAATGCTAGACGATCCGATGCCTATCAAATTAGCTGGTTATATGTTTTCTATACTCTTTGTTTGTTAAACAGAGGTGGACCATACCAAAGGGATTTTCAAACTCATTTATCAAAAACAAACTGACAACGCTATGGCAAATAAATGCTCCGCTGGGCGCAGCTTAATACGACCGCAGAGGTCGAACCCTGAACAGTTGGGACAAGTATGAACACTACATGCAAGCTTGATACAGCTCTGAATTTGGATTCTGATTTTATAATTGACACAGCATAGGTTTCTGACACAGAATGAATATGGTCAAAGAACTGAAAAATTTGAAATTGGACTTTTACTAATATGGTCCAATATCCAAAATCTAAATACACTGTTAGATTCTGCATATCCAAGTACACCATGGCCAAGAATTTAATTCATTTATTTATTAATGGACAATATTAGCTTAGTTTTTAAAAGGGTTTGCTTCATAAAAAAAAATTAAATATGTTTAAAGCATTCTGAAAATTAATTAATACAGAATAACAAACAAACCTACCACCAAGTTCTTCAATTTTTTTTTAGAAAAAAACATTAAAAAACAAATTCCAAATTATCATTCATCATTAATACAATATCTTTAAAAAATCTATAAAACTTACCTGTAATTATTTTTCAAAATATCTAATAATAAAATAAAATAATTGAATTTTGGATGTAAAAGGTCTTCTGATTGGCTTAAAGTTTTTTGTCTATCAGCTCATAGACATAATTTTGTCATGTGACTGTGACGTCGTGAAAGTTTTTTTCATTATTTACTCCTTAAAATTAAATTATAAGGAATGTCTGTAATATTTTTTCTGTCTATTCGAAATAACCTAAAGTTCTGACACAGATTCATTGTAGTCTAAGAACTTAAAAATTTGAAACTGGACATTTACCTATTATAGTCCAATATCCAAAAGCTATGGTTAGAATCAGCATATCAAAGAACCTCAAGAATTCAATTTTTGATGAAATCAAACAAAGTCTAATTTTGGACCCTTTGGACCTCAATGTTGACCAATTTGATGACGGGGCAAAAAATCCAAAATATAAGTACACGATTAGATTCAGCATATCAAAGAACCTCATATATTTAATTTTTCTTTAATTTTCGACCCTTTGGACCTCAATGTGGACCACTCAAAATCAGACCAAACAGGTCCCAAAATCCAAAATCTAAACACACGGTTAGATTCAGCCAAGGATTTGTATAGTATATCTTACTATACAAATCCTTGATTCAGCATATTAAAGAACACCAAGAATTCAAGACTTTGAATTAAACTACATTGAAATTGGTCAAGAAATAAGCAATTTATTACAAAGTATTAGAAAAGTATTGTTTTTGGCCCCTTTTTCCTAAAAGGTTAGAGCCATAACCCCTAAATTTAAAATAATTCCCAACCTTTCTTTTTTGGTATGGAATCTTGTGGTACAATTTCATAGGGATCCATAGACTTATACTCAAATTATTTTCAAGAAACCACAAAATCCTAGTTTTTTGGCCCCTAATTCCTAAACGTTTTAGGCCATAACTCCCAAAATCAATCCCAACCTTCCTTTTGTGGTATGGAACCTTGTAGAACAATTTCATTGAGATCCATACACTTATTCTCTAGTTATTGTCTGGAAACCAAATGTCTAAGCCTTTAATGCTAGATAATTAGTTGGTAGTTTCTGACAAGAAGATTAATATAATTGTGCATCTATAAATAACAAGAGGCTCTAAAGAGCCTGAATCGCTCACCTGTATTTTAGAGAAGATTTTTAAATGTTAGCAAACTTGATGAACAAATTGTGTAAAATTGTCTTTAAAGGGCAATAACTCCTTAAGGGGTCAATTGACAATTTTGGTCATATTAACTTTTTTGTAGATCTTACTTTGCTGAACATTATTGCTGCTTACAATTTATATATATCTATAATAATATTCAAAATAATAACAAAAAACTGCAAAATTTTGATAAAACTACCAATTCGGTGGCAGCAACCCAACAATGGGTTGTTCGATTCGTCTGATAATTTCATGGCCGATAGATCTTGACCAATTAAACAATTTTACCCCATGTCACATTTGCTTTAAAAGATTTAGTTTTTGAGATATAAGCCAAAAACTGCATTTGACCCTTTTGTTCTATTTTTAGCCATGGCGGCCATGTTTGTCGATGGATACAAACTTCGGATACAATTTATAAACAAGATACCCTAAGGAACATTTAGTTAAAGTTTGAAGGTAATTGGCCCAGTAGTTTCAGAGGAGAAGATTTTTAAATGTTAGCAAACTTGATGAACAAATTGTGTAAAATTGTCTTTAAAGGGCAATAACTCCTTAAGGGGTCAATTGACAATTATGGTCATATAACTTTTTTGTAGATCTTACTTTGCTGAACATTATTGCTGCTTACAGTTTATATATATCTATAATAATATTCAAAATAATAACAAAAAACTGCAAAATTTTGTTAAAACTACCAATTCGGTGGCAGCAACCCAACAATGGGTTGTTCGATTCGTCTGAAAATTTCAGAGCTGATAGACCAATTGACCAATTTTACCTAGTCAGATTTGCTCTAAAAGCTTTAGTTTTTGAGATATAAGCCAAAAACTGCATTTGACCCCTATGTTCTATTTTTAGCCATGGCGGCCATGTTTGTCGATGGATCAAAACTTCGGATACAATTTATAAACTAGATACCCTAAGAAACATTTAATTAAAGTTTGAAGGTAATTGGCCCAGTAGTTTCAGAGGAGAAGATTTTTGAAATAGTTTACGACGACAGACGACGACGACGGACGCCAAGTGATGGCATAAGCTCACATGGGGCCCTTTGGGCCCCGGTGAGCTAATTATTTATTAAAGACATAATCTGAAACAACTGTTATTTTAATTGTCTAAATTTGAATTGAACAATATAAAAAATAAATAAAAAGGATACATATGGCCCTTCATATTGTAAAATCCAAACATTGTAATACCGTGATCGAACAAGCACTTCACTTTCAAATCTCTCCACTTCTCCCTATCAGTTTCAAAAAGAGAAGTCACTTCTCCCTATGATTCTGAAGTAGTGTGAGCCCTGGTCTAAGGACAACGACAACGCTCACAATGCCATAACAGTCTACCAAAAATTACTTAGAAAACTTGACTGAGCAACACGAACCCCATCAAAAATTGAAGGTGATCTATTCTGCCCTGGTAGGGTAAGCAGATCCTGCTCCTCATATTTTAAGGATGATGTTTCCGTGGTAAAAATCTACCAGATGTTTGTGTGTTTCTACAAAGTCAGGAACCTTGTCAGTGGACATAGTTGTCTTGATTCCTATCCTGAATGTTTTTGGGATTTTACATATTTTCTTCGACACGATAGATTGAGTGTGAAAAATCTTAATGTTGACGACCCAAAAAGCTGTTCATGTTCAAGGGGTATAACTCGTCTGACTTGGAAAGGTGACATGTGTTTTTTTTTACAACACCTAGGCTTTCGGAAAAGGATATTGCTAAAAGGTTCCATTGCATTATCAATGAGGTATAAGAACTTAAAAATTTGAAATTGGACATTTACTTATTAGTGCCCAATATCCAAAATCTAAATACATATTAGATTCAGCATACAAAGAACCGAAAGAATTCAAAGTTTTATTTTGGACCCTTTGGACCTCAATGTGGACCAATTTGATAACGGGGCCCAAAATATCAAAATCCATATACATGGTTATATTCAGCATATCAAAGAACCCCTTGAAATCAATTTTTGTTAAAATCAAACTAAGTTTAATTTTGGCCACTTTGGATCTTAATGTGGACCAATTTGAAAACTGGGCCCAAAATCTAAAAACACGGTTAGATTCAGCATATCAGAGGACCACAAGAATTCAATTTTTGTTGATATCAAACAAAGTTTTATTTTGGACCCTTTGGACCTCAATGTGGACCAATATAAAAACAGGGCCCAAAATCCAATATCTAAATACACGGTTAGATTCAGCATATTAAAAAACCACAAGAATATTCAATTCTTTGAATTAAACCCCTTTGAAATTGGTCAAGAAATAAGCAATTAATACAAAGTATTAGAAAAGTGTTGTTTTAGCCCCTAATTCCTAAACAGTTTGTACAATAATCCCAAAAATCATTCCCAACCTTCCTTTTGTGGTATGGAACCTTGTGGTACAATTTCATAGAGATCCACTAATACTCAAGTTATTGTCTGGAAACCAAATGCCTAAGGACAACGACAACGCCATAACATTGTACGAGCTAAATTTGTGGTCTTATAAAAATCATTGCATTTTACATGTCCTTATATATTCAAACATTTGTTAATTTTAAACAACATATTTGTCACAATTTTTGTTTGTGCTTATTAGATAAATTTTCACATGTCTGATTTATCTTTTAAGATATTGCTCTAAGTACAGCTACACACAATTGGTAACTGAAATAAAAAAAAAAGACCTTAATTGGTCTTCTACCTGTCAATTCAAAGATGACAATAATCACAATACAATGTATTAACAAAAGATTATAATGCTGGGTTAAAATAAAGTATAACTTGAATATAACAGTCATTATAAAATATACATCTTTAAATTGTGAATACATGTACAATACTTTTTACTTAGGAGGACTTTCAATACTGTAACAGTTTATTTTTACAGAAGTAAATAAATCAATTATGTCTAAACTAATACTAGCATGAATTATTTATGAAAGACCTATTTTCAATAAAATTGGTATTCCTTGAAGAAAAAAAAACAACAAAAAACAAAAACAAAATTCAATATTTCCCCTTCTTTTTGATAAGAAAAACATTTTCACTTCAAATCTCAATTTTATCAGAAATGTAGATTTTTGAATCCCCTAAATTTATTATTGGATTATTCAAAAATTTGTAAGGGTTCCGTGGAACCCAGTGTCTCGCCTACTTTTTCTGTTAATCGCAGGCTCAACAAAAATGAGGAAGTAAATCAATAAAAATATTCCTCTTCATACTATCTTTTGATTGTAAGAAGCTTCTGTCCAAGTTTGGTAAAAATCCAGGATAGTTTATGAATCTAATAAATGTTTAAAAACTTTAACTGCAGACTGAATGTAATGTTAACTGGAAGAAAACAAAATTTCCTTCTAGATACTAGCATTTGATCATAAACAAGTTTCTGTCCAAGTTTGGTACAAATCCAAAATAGTATAAGAAAGTTATTAAAATTTTAAAAACTTTAACCACAGAGTGAATATGTTGTTTCCCGGCAGAAAATTTAAGTCCATTTTAAAGTAAAATACAGAAAAAATGGATTTATTTTTTTACAAAATTTCCTTCTAGATACTAGCTTTTGATCATAAACAAGCTTCTGTCTAAGTTTGGTACAAATCCAAAATAGTATAAGAAAGTTATTAAAGTTTTAAAAACAGAGTGAATGTAATATTTCCTGGCAGAAAAACTAAGTCCATTTATCATGTTTATAAGTAAAATATGGAAAAAAAGGAATTTTATTTTTACAAAATTTACTTCTGGATACTATCTTATGATCATAAACAAGCTTCTGTCCAAGTTTGGTAGAAATCCAGGATAGTTTAAGAAAGTTATTAAAATTTCAAAAACTTTAACCACAGAGTGAATATGTGTGGACGCGGCCGACGACGACGACGCCAACGACGGAATGTAGGATCGTTATGTCTCGCTTTTTCGACTAAAGTCGAAGGCTCGACAATAAAAATCACTCAGGGTCTTAATTGACCTCAAATAAATCTAATAGATCAAACATATTATAACAAAATTGTCTTTGTATGTCCAGATATAACAGATGTTCAAAGTTTACACTGTGCTTTGACTTTCCAACTTGCATCTTTAAGCAAAATAAATTACTCAAAAATAGGTGGACCTGACATATTTGATCCCCTTTTCACAATGAAAATCAACACATATATAGCTAAAAATGCTGATATGAACTCACTATGCATATGACCGTCTTATGCATATTTTAGCCAAGATGCTTTTGGAATGAGAAAAACTCAATTTCTATACCAGCGAGTTTTACCTAATACACAAGTTATTTCTACCTTCCAACATGTAATGATGTCCTCACAAAACAAGATTGAAAAAAATCATTAAAATACATTTTGTTGGTATCAATTACATGAATATCCATATTTCATAATATTTTAACATGCCTAAAGTAAACAAAATTATTTTAACAAATTATATATTTTTTAAATATGATTAATAAAAATGTTCATTTAAGAAATGATATTGACCATAAACACAGTTTGAGGTTTGTTCATTTTAATCAGAACGTAATCAAAAAGTAATCAGGGTTACAACCTATAAAAGTAATTGATTAAATTAAATTACATGTAATCAGATATTTGGCTGATTAATGATTACAATGATTAGTATCATTACTTGAAAAATTGTAAACGAGAATGATTATAATTACAATTAACCCAAGCATGATTATCATTTCCCTGTTTGAAAGATTCTATCTTTTTTAACCATCTTGCTTTTTATTTAAATTTGAAAGTATTAGTTAAGATGGCCCGAGAACACAGTTATTTCAGAGTGCATTTCTTTTAGACAATAAATTCAAATTAAAAAAATCGCACCTGCTCTATCTCAAAAAGATTTTTCACAGTGTAGTGTACTGCTATTGGGACAAATAATATAAAAATTATAGAAAAGTCTACCAGCTCTAACTCAAAATATTTACAATTCTTTGTTAAGGGGTCTAAAATTCAGTTTATCTGCTTCAGACATACTAATTTGCAACCTTTTTAAACTGGACCAAATCACTACTTAACATAAAGATTCAGCATCCAATTTTTTTTAACATATAATTTCACCCTTTTACTTAATATTTCATGCATAAAATATAAAGAAATAAATTTGGAAAGTGTATGAAAAAAACTTGCAAGTTATACACTGTCCACACTAGGGACTATATTCGTAGACAACGAAAAACAAAGGATGATAACTGGACCAGATGGGACAATAAATGAATAAGACATTGCTACCTTGGACAGGGTAGGTATTTTGCCTTTGATAGATTTTATTTTATTTCCATGTTCTTAACTTTTAAAACAATAAATATATCCTCAGGTTCAGATATAAGAGATTACCATAAATTATCAAAATATATCCCACTTCAAAAATCTTATGCTTTTGGTAATGTTTTATATTCTATAACAGAAGAAAGAGTAACTTCTATTGGAAAAGTACCTTACAAAATCTTTCTTTTTCAATACAGCTACTTGTGAGATTTTTTTATAAAATTAGTATTGAAACTTTTATTTTACATTGAAAATTTTGAATAAGAAAATCCTGTTATTTAAGAGAAATTTCCAACTATTCTTCTTAGAAATAGGAGACAGATGTATAAATGAATGCAGCTATGAACACATGTACACATTTGCAGAACATAAGACATAGGATATCACAATGATTCATGGGTTGTTTCTATGTCCTATAGAACTCACTCCCTTTTTAACACTCTCATCATGAAACATTAGTGATTTGTGATCAAAGTCTGATAATTTAGGAAAACTTAAAGGTTCTTCAGAAAAGATGTTTTGAAGTCGGCTTTTCTAGTCTTTGAGATACTGTTGTCGTGTTGGCTCCTCTACTAGTTTTGTTCCATATGAAATCTGTGGGAATAGAACATCAAATCCACACATTCTTAATGTACCATACTGAAATAAATTAAAACTTGAAATATTATTTTGGTTAAATATTAGAACATTATCTATTGGAGATTTAATCAATGATTGATTGTTGTTTGATTAACGTCCAGTGCTAAATATTTCATGCATATTCAAAACGAGAACATATTACTATTAATAGAATAGGAAGGTTCTGCATGATATGTCGACCCTAATGAGAACTGTAACTGAAAGTTAAGGTATGTTGGATAGGGGCAAATATTTTTTTCTTTCAACAGGCCACCTACAGTCTCCTCAATTAATTATTGCAAGGGTGCTTCCTGTGCATAGAGTGTAGGACTCACCTACACGAGGTGTTGTTTAAAAAGTCCCCTTGCCAATAGGAACTGAAGTGACTGCATATTTAAAACTATTTTATACACACTCAGGAGCTCAGGAATCTTAATTTTGACTGTAATATCATTTATATATCCAATGTAAACACTAAGAAAATAAGCCATTGTGCAACATGCAGATAAATCAAACAGATTAATACATGATGGTATATGTTGTATCTTCTTGATCTGTATCGGGGTGAAGTTGTTTTTGTAAGAAAGCAAACTGACATATATAAAAGTACCCATATATTTGTATGTTTATTTTGTAATAAAGTAGGATGTATTATGTAATGAAACTCTACATGGAAAATGAGTAATATGGAAATATAGGGAAATTAGCTTTCTGGTGCACTTAGCTGCAGAAAACATAAAGACGACATGTTTCCCACCAAAGTTCTAAATTGAAATAATAGATATAGTTTTATTTACTGACAGGTATACTTTTTCGTCTGAATTATTATATAGGTTCTTCATGAAATTAAAAAAAAATAATTATGGTTTAAATCTTTTTAAAATTTATGCACAGCTTATAATAAGACAAGGAAGGTTATAACTTTGGGAAAAGGGAATTAAGGTGTAATACCACCATTGATTTTCCCCTATTAGTCTTTGTTAAATTTGCACTTTTCAAAAAATTGTGCAGAATTTATCTTTGTTTCAAATAAAGAAATACTTGGCATGAGTAAAGTTTGATCCTGTCCAGTACTATAGAAAAAATTTCACATAACATTTCATTGCATATAAGAAAATAACCATCACTGGAAGTTAACCAATCAAATTTTCCCCCTTTTTTAACCTGTATACAAGCTTTAGTAACCATGTAACCTCAAGTTTCCAAAATATTCTATAGAAACCCCAAATAAAAAAATAATGGTGCTTTGAAATACCCAAGATATATGTTTATGACCCAGAAATGTTTTACTGCAATGAAATGTAGGATCAATTACCTACAACTGTCAAATTCAAGGGAATATTTTTTTTCGACCTATTTTCGTATGCAACCGGTTGTGATGTACTATGATTTGGTGGTATTACACCTAAAGAAGACTTTTTTGTTAAATAAACTGAATGTGACTTTTTTCCTTTGTTATACTGGTTATTTCAAGCATTCCTGTCAAGTTTTGTCATAATCAGTTCAATAGTTTGAGAAAAATCTAGTATAATGTAAGACGACATCTGCAGCGATTCGAGCTAAATTTCTTCGAAAAATCCAAACCAAGCCGCATCATGATAGAATATAGTGTGGACCAATAAAGGATCAAATATTTATCTCATCTGCCTACAAACAGTTGAATATGATTCAAAAGATGACTTTAGGATGATAAATACTACCAATGGACCTCTTTGTCTTCCTTATAAGGTCTCTTTTGGTCCATTTATACCTCTCATTTCCTCAAAATTTCTACTTTATAGGCCAATAAATAAAAATTTTGGGGTAACTTTCACTCATTTATGATAGAAATGTTATAATAAATGATTAATTGAAGTATTCAAGCTGAATGAACTATCCGTATAAAAGTTTACTGTCTCCAAGGAGGTTTCAATAAGTCCTTACGTAAAACTTAAATTTACGCCGCGTTCCAGAGAGGGACATAAAAAGCTTCTCTTTTGGTGAATAATTTGTTGTTACTGCTTTAAAAATAATTTCATTTACTTAAAACTATATATTTATTAAAGTATTTCTTAGGAAAAATTTTCTAGTATAGCAGAATATAAGAAAAAAGGAGAAAAAGCTCCCCAAAACTCTAAGTATGGCTTATTCTGTCAACTTATATTCATGGTAAAGTCCTATTTCAAGGAAATTTTCTCATAAAATGTGTTTTGGAGACTCAATCCACTCAGAATATTTCATTATTAGTAATATTTCACTTAAATAGCAAGAAATTTTAACACATGAGAGTACTCACAAGGTCAAAGGTGCATGTACAGCTTCCTATATTAGGTGTAATACCACCATTGATTTTCCCCTATTAGTCTTTGTTAAATTTGCACTTTTCAAAAAATTGTGCAGAATTTATCTTTGTTTCAAATAAAGAAATACTTGGCATGAGTAAAGTTTGATCCTGTCCAGTACTATAGAAAAAATTTCACATAACATTTCATTGCATATAAGAAAATAACCATCACTGGAAGTTAACCAATCAAATTTTCCCCCTTTTTTAACCTGTATACAAGCTTTAGTAACCATGTAACCTCAAGTTTCCAAAATATTCTATAGAAACCCCAAATAAAAAAATAATGGTGCTTTGAAATACCCAAGATATATGTTTATGACCCAGAAATGTTTTACTGCAATGAAATGTAGGATCAATTACCTACAACTGTCAAATTCAAGGGAATATTTTTTTTCGACCTATTTTCGTATGCAACCGGATGTGATGTACTATGATTTGGTGGTATTACACCTTAACTCGTTCTATTTCTTACTTGAATTGGCCATAATAAAACATTGATATCGCTACTCAGACCCATTGGAGATGTCATATCTTTAGTACAACCAGTCGTTAACGACAACACTGTTCGTTTACCCTGAAAAAAGAACACAATAATAAAAAAAAGTGTAGATTAATAGATAATTTATTCACAAATTGAGCAGTTTTGTAATTTTTTAATTTACTAATACCGGTTTATGAAGTCTATAAATCCACTTTTTCACTTGACATTGAAATGAAAAACAAAGAGAATTAGTTTCACACTTAATGTTAAATTAAAATACACAAAAACATGTACCTGCTACAGGCCTATTAGATTTCAGTACTGTATGGTATATACTGTACAGCTGCTTACATTCTATTCAAAACATGTTGATCTAAGATTTGATTCAATTATTAAAAAGTAACGATGAAAACATATCCCACTAATTCAAATATCAATTATGTTTTGAATTAAACAACTGGCATATTTACAATGTACTTATAAATTATATATACAGCTTACGCAATCATAGGGAAACACTTTAATGCTACAAGCCTACAATAAACTTGTCTGATCTTTCAAAGTTTTCAAGTAATCTCAGTTCATTTCTAAAATGTATAGCCTAAGAGAGGTAACACACATCTTATTATACAACTTAAGTTACAGAACATCATCAAACAAAAATGAAATAAGATGGACAATGATCCCAAGTGTTCCAAGGCTTAACTTATTATTTTAAAGTGCAATACTTATGTATATGTTTTTGAGAGAAAGCACCATTTTCACAAGTTCATTTTTTAAAGTAATAATGTAGTCATAGAATACTGACATTTTATGTATTCCTAAAAACCATCAGTTTTAATCACAAAGAGTAGAACTGCTAAAGTTGGTTCTAATTCTAATTTAAATCTTGTTGTACAAAAATGTAAGTTCTTGAGCTCTTTAGTTTGTGGAATAAAATCATTTGTCTGATTTACATACACCTCGCATCATTCTGTTTATTAATTAAGATTATGGTAGCCTTTGGCTCTTTAAACAAGTAACAATAATATTATAAAAGTACCTTCATAAATCCCTGATCCAAGACATTCTGTGATTCAAAGTCAAATGCAAAGCTATCACAGAAAACCCGATCAAACCATCCCTTCAGAATGGCTGGAACAGATGACCAGTATAATGGGAACTGGAATATGATAAGATCTGCACGTTTTAATTTGTCCGTTTCATTGGCTATGTCCAGAGACTGGCAATTATGTCTATAAGCATGTCTTCCTTCTTCCGTGTAGTTAAACAAATTAGGATCCTGCAAAGGACCTGAAAGAACCATCAGGTATTCAGAAAAGTTACTGACCAAATGTTGTTGCCTTTTAAGTTATCATTTGCACTTTGCAATATTTTCCCTTGTATCCAAAAAACTTTTTTTGCATGTAGTAAAATTATATCCCATTTGGGGGTAATTTAAACCTATATTAAAATTCGTTTGGGAGATACATGTACATGTAATCCCCATCTTGTTAAAATCCTAAAATTCTAAAATTTATTCCAAAATAAGCTAGGCTAAAGCAGCAAATTCACAATCTGAATCTTTCTGTTTATTTTGTACCAGCAACATTTATCCAATATCTATGTTCTAGTATATGTGTACATGTAGCTATAATGGGAGTCCCTGTTAATTACAGGTGATATTGTTGATGTGTCAGTTTACTTTAAGTTTTATAATTTTTCAAACTTATATCTTATAAGGAATTCAGGGATTAAAACCAAGATTCTACATGTATATATGTGCATTATGTAAATAATTCACTTGCACTAATAGGTGTAAACAATTACGGTTTTTACATTTTTGTATATTTTTACTTTTGGGACAATAACAGCTGATTAATATTTTATGAAGGAATGCATATTATAACCCTTTTTGTTACTGTATAGTATTTTAATTCTAAATTTTGGATTTTTAAAGGGAGCTACCATTTGATTTTTATTGGGGAGGGGGGTTCTAGATGAAATTTGAAAAAAAAGGCAGGACAGGAGTTTTGAGTTTAAAAAAAAAGCCGGATGAGCAAAGTTCTTGGCAAAAAAAAAGGCAGGATGACAATTTATGTAAAAAAAGTCAGGATAAACTAATAAAAAAAAAGGCAGGTCCGATTAGAGTGAAAAATAAAAAGGCAGGACAGAGATAACAACTAAATAAAAATGCAGGACAGAGATAACAACTAAATAAAAATGCAGGACAAAATTTTTCATCCAAGCCCCCCCCCCCCCCCCACCACCAATAAAAATCAAATGGTAGCTCCCGAAGTACGTAGTAAAAAATTAAATCTTACATATGACGGTGACATGTGTACATGTACTTACCCCTTATATCATTTTTCGTTGCACGTGGTTCAAATTGTTGTGAATACAAATCAGAGACTTCAACCGAATGTCCCAAACTCCGTAATGTATCTACAGCAGCATCCTTGAGAGCTCCATTGAAGGATTTTCCGTCTTGATGGGCAAACACAAGGAGAACATGTTTTTGACTAGGATCACACATAACGTGTACAGATGTGTTACAAAGTCGAAGGAGCTTGGTAGACTTTCAACAAGCCGCTAGGTTGGTCCCCTCCGTAAAATATTCAGCAGTATGCCTTCGAAATATACAAATATTAAACTTGTCAAGTAACGGTCGGGTACCAGTCTACTAGGGTTCAAAAGGTAGTATGCATGCATGTTCTGTATCTTCCTCCTTTAGTAGGAGCACCACCATGGGTTATGGTGCCAGTCATCAGTACATAATTTTGTTTTTCCTTATGCTTTAAGGTGTATATAGTTGCTACAATTATACCCTATGGGTAGTGCTCCACAATTAATGGAGGAACTTACAAGAAACTGAACTGAACTGTACAGGAGTACATTTAATATACTGTATCGGTACAGATTTAATGTGAGCATTTGCCTACCCAATTTCTCAACCTGGACGTGACCTATAGTTGTTAATTTCTGTGTCATTTGGTCTCATATGGAGAGTTGTCTCATTGGAAATCATACCACATCTTCTTATTTTTATACAAAAAAACAGGCATTTCAGATCTGACAAACAGGCAAAATGTACCCTCCTTTTAAATTTCATGCATTTTTTTTATTATTCAAAATTATAAGTTAATAATGTTCTACAATATTCGCCAGTTATTCAGCTTTCATTTGATACATGTACCAAAATTACCAAAATATTCTACATATTTTGAAAGTTACACCCATGGGTAGGAACTATTTTGTGTTTAATATGTACTACTTTCTGACCGGGTCTGACCTAACTTTCATCAAGTCGATCCGGCCCAAGTCGATTCGGTCCACATTTAAAGCCGACCCGGCTTCAATTTTAAAAAAATATTAAAAAGGAAATAAGAATTATATGTATTTGACTTGTAGTTCATAAATAATAATGAATTTTATTAACAATATACTTTTTTTGGGTTAGGAAAAACTTGATATTACAAAGTGCAATGTTACCCTATGATATTTATTTATTATATAACATATACTTTGTCTTATTGGCAATCATACAACTTGCTTCTCCTTATTTTTATTTGAAATAAATTATATAAAAAAAAAAGAATACAAAATATTAATTTTCAGAAAATAAAAGAAATGTTGCAATCACAAATTCTGATTTAGTTCTGCTGCAAATCAGCAGCATTTTCCAACAAACAACAATAACAGTGAAGCATTAGGCAAAGCCATCACAATGATGAAATTATCATATGCATTCCTAATTTTTCAGTACCGTGTTACGCATAATCTTAAGATTTTTACAAGCGCAAAAGATGCCATACTATTCTGTTTTGTAACAAATGAATATGCAGTGACTCGTAAATCAATGCAATACACGGTATAAAGGATGAACTGACATTATTTAATAAAGATTCAATACCAATACCACATTTGAGTACATTCACAACACTAGATAAATCATCAACATCTTTGACTAGTGACACTCAATTTCCTGCTTTACAAGATCTTTTCTCTTCAGCTGAGGAAGGACTTGATGGGTCATATGATCTGTTCTCAGATTTTTGTGCTGCAGGAAATGGCGAATGTGAGAAAACTAGAAAAAGTCATATCAGTGATAATTCCGATTCTCATTCCGTTAGTCTTTTAAGTGGAAAGAGACCAAGCAATTTTAGAAATAAATAGTCATAAAGGTTTATAGTTTTTATTGTAAAGTTAAGTGTCAAAAACTGATTTTGCATGGGTAAATGAAGATGTTGGGAATGTCTCAATGAGACATCAACCCAACAAATTAAGTAACATAAAAAAAGACATATATACATGTACTGGTCATCATACATTCTTCAACAAACAGATAGATGTCTTTTGAATATGTCAAGCTCTAATTTGACCTGATTATATTAAAGTTATATCTAACAGAAACCACCAAAGATATGTAATCATGGAATTTAAATTCATAAATTGATAGTCTATAGGATGAGATATCCCTACCCCCCCCCCCCCTTTTTTTTGATTTTTGGGGTCAATACATGTAGGTCAAAGCATGCAGTTATTGGTAGACTTGAATGAAGGCAAGATTTTGTTTTCCATTTTGGTATATTTTTAACAATATGACAACCTTTTACCAAAGCTTGTTTGTTTAAATACACAAGGGTAAAGAAGACCCGTTCAAATTGGGTATCCAAAGGTTATGTTTAAGGTCAGAGCATCTATTTATATTAGACAAAAATTGTGAAAATATGTTAACATTTTCAATATTTCCCAATTTCATGCACAGAGAGAGTGAGAGAACGTATGGGTTTAAGTCAAATTTTGCCATATTAATGTTAATTGATTGATTTATTCATTGCTGTTAAACGCCACTATGAGCACTAGTGCGCTATTTCGTGGCTATCAGTTGTAATTGGTGGAGGAAGCCGGAGTGCCCGGAGCCGGAAAGCAACAGACCTTCCGTAGGTGAACTGACAATCCTAGTCAATAAAGATTGGAGTCAATGTAAGGGATAAATTAGTCCTGGTAAAAAGTGAAAAATATTACTATTATTAAAAGTCCATGGTTACAGAATTTACTAGTATATTTAGTCCGATGTCGGTAATTTATGTCCCCAGACTAATTTTCCTAGGAATTTATGTCCATGTCATCAATATCTCTAGGTAAAAATGTCCATGTCCTTTATTTGAACAGGAAAATGTTTAATAACAGAAATCATTTACAATACAGTAAACAATCGAATTTTTAATTCTATTGTTGTAATGTTGTTTTACAGTTGTGCATTAATCTTTTAATAAAATGTATGTGCCCAGACTAATTTTCCGAGGAATTCATGTCCAGGGCATTAATGTTCCTAAGTACAAACGTCCATCTCCTTTATTTTTATAGGACATTTTGTAATGAAAGAAATAATTTATACATGTAAACAATGGAATTTTTAATTCTTATATGTTTTTGAATTGTTTAACAGTTGCGCATTAATATTTCACTATTTTTTTTATACTTAACTACAAATGTTCCTTTCTTAATTCTAATATTGATGAATTTTAAAGAATTTCTTGAGAAATAAAATTTTAAAGGGACCTTATTCATAGAAAAAAAATGAGAATACGGATATATAAAACTTTTCCGAGGAAAATAACTGCCAGACATATTTTACTAGCTATGGACTTATTCTCCTAGGAAAATTTATCCATGGACTTACATTCCTAGTAAAATTATGGTCACGGACTTGATTACCTAGGAATACAAGTCTGGTGGACAAATTTTACTACCGGACTGAATTTACTGTTACATAAAATCCACCTGCCATGTGCGGTAATTTGAACACGCAACATCGGTGTTGACATGCAGGCAAGCGATATAGTATTTGGACCACTCAGACCAATCGGTCACTTTAGGCCCCATATTAATGTTGTGACTGCTCAATAACAAAATATAGATTTATAAACCTTCTTGTTAAATCAAATGAGTTATGCTAACTTTTTTTAATGTGATGTTCTTAGCTTAATACTTTGCTTTCAGGTAAATATTATGTATTCATCATCCCATGCACTTATCACTATACTAACAGAAAAGCTAACCAATAATGGGGAACATGTTTATCAGATTGTATTTCTAAATCTGCATCTTTCAAATTGAAGTTTATGACTGATCATTACTGATCTCAAAGAGTTAATTGATATCTATTATTTATATTTTCTATTTTCTATTTTCTATTTTGGTGTTTCTGGTTGTTGGATACTAATATCAGCCTTTGGTTGTCACATTAAAGTTGCATTGGATAATCCTAAAAATTTTGGTAAGTATAACATACATGTGTTTTAACAGTATAAATAAGAATTCAGTTGGGTCCAGAATCCCTCCACTAAACTTGAAATTCAGTATTTTCTAATCGAAGTATATAGTGTGAATTTTCTAAGTTTAGATGAAAATGTAATATCTACTACTAGTGAATTTGGAATATCGATCTGTTCTAACACCTTGACCTGAATCCAAACACTTCAGCATTGAAGGGTACTTGTCAACTGATAAACAATATTGCTTGGACAAATTCTGCTCATTATGTAACACTTTCTTGATGATATCTCCTTGTGCTCTTTTTACAACTAATTATATCCTAATGCTAGCTAAAACTATTCAGAACAAAATGAAAGCTGATGTGATAATGGTCAATTACATCAAAGAGTTGATGGTCAATACTTTATCAGTTTAATGACATTTCATCTTGATTAATGTGACAGTTTATACGGTACATGGGATGCACAATAGAGCTGCAATAACATTCATAAGTTTATCAAAATATTCTCAGACCATAAAGCAATGTTTAGTCTAAATTAAGAACAGATGTTTAGCACGGTCTTGTGAGAAACTTTATATTGGTCAGTTGTATTATAGATGAGTTTGAAGTAACAAGTTGTATGCACGAATATTAATTTGAAAGTATAATTGTGAACACTTTATAAATATTATACATGAACTGTTAAAGGAAGATCTATAAACATTAAACATGTGAACATGAAATAGACTTAGTTATTGACACTTGAGCTAACGGGTGAAATCTGGATTTATCGATCCTCGATACATAGATATAAAAAATGACAAGTTACAAAATAAACAAAATAAAGCCCCGTTACATTTGGTGGAGGACCCGGGCAGTTACAAAGTAATAAAGCCCCGTTACACTATATTACTTGTGCCTAAAGGCAGATAAAGGAATGTATTTAACCAAGATATTTTCTTTTTGATTTAAAGGATTACTTATTTTAAGTTTAATCCATTGCTAAGTTAATTAAAAAAAGGAAGATGTAGAAGATTTCAAAATAATTATACTTAATTATATTTGTACATGTCTGTAAAACACCAAAGGAATTATACATCACTGAAAACCGTTATGATACAGAAAAAAAAAGATTTATCTGATCGTTGCAGGAAGCATTAGGTTTAATTTTTTATCGAACCATATTGGAAAAAGCAGGTAGAGAAGTTGTAACAGCATTAGGAATGGGTAATATTCACAACCGACTTGGGGATTTTTTTTAGAGATTTGTATTGAAAATCAGAGCTTATTATAACTGAAAAAGGTATTAAATTGTTTATGGACCAGATTTTCCAGATGATGACATTTTTTCCTGTTTATTAAAACCATGTAATTTAGATTATTTTACCAAGCATATTATAGTTAAATTTTGCACTGATATTAAAGTAA